TATATACTAATTTTGTGGCAAATATATACTATATATGTTAGATTTAAATAGGTATTATAATTAAATATAAATATATATCAATTAAAATAAAAATATAGTTAGATATAAGTAAATACTAATTAAATACAGTATATGAATTAAATTTATTTACTTACAAGCTTCTTAGAAAAAAGACTAGTAATTATTAAGGAGTTTGCTATTTATCACCGCTAGTGATCATCACCGGTGTATAATTAGCCAATTAATTTTCAGGATCAGGTGTAACATATAGATCAGTTTTGTGTAACAACAACAAAGAATTTTTTAAAAAATCAATTATATCTCAAAATTTGTCTATGAAACCACCTTTCAGGCTTTAACAAAAAAAATTCCTTGCAAAGTTTTGCTATAGTTTTTGTTTAGCACTACTATTAAACTCTTACCCTTACCCTAATATCAAAAGTTAAAAAATTTATACACTATATCTAATTATATATTGTAGATCACCGGTGATGATCACTAGTAGTGATTTGAAGTATTTTTTAATTATTAATTATTGTGCTACTTTATACTTGTGGCCTGAATGTCTTGAATAAGCTAAAGATATGCCAATATTTTCTATTAATTTATATACCAATATAAAGTACTATAGAAACTGTGGTGACAGTAAATTAATATAGTAAATTGTAGAGATGAAATACGTGAATATCCACAATTAAAAATAAATTTTGAATATCTATGAAAATTCAGATATTCATTCAATACTACTTGTTGATATCCAAAATCCATAAATCATAAGTAATCTAATGAGATTGGGTAATACCAAGAACATAGTAGAATGAAGTGTATAGTTAAATTTGAGTTTTGGGTTCATATACAAAATTATAATTAGACATAATAATAAATAATATTTATAGTATAATTACTGCATAAAGATTATTGATGAGTGCAACATTATATAGCTACTAAAATTACCTAATCCTGATTTACCACATTAGCCCATCTTTTTATAATATCTTAAATTTAGACTCATTTACTTTGAATATTTAAACTGCTAGATACTGATAATAGCTCTATTTAAATATAAAAAATTGACTAATTATTAAAAAAATAACAGAACAGGGTAAAATCTGAGTTGCAAAATAGTGAAATTCACCTTGTAAATCAGGTTAGGTGAAATTTGCGTTTTATTATATTTTTTATTATATAAAAGCAGATTTTACTCTTGTGTGATGATTATAGCAGATTTCACTATTTTGCAACTCAGGTTTCACCCTGTCATAAAATAACTATATATAAAAAAAAACTTAAAAAACCTATGTACCAATATTTTTTTCTAATAAAGTTGGATCATTATCATCAACATTGATAGATGCATTGTGATAAACTTGTTTTTCTTTTTTAGCCTTTTTACTATTGCCATTAGGTTTATAGGCTTTGGTTTTATTATTAGTAGAAGCAACCATATCTTGAGTTTCGAACATCCTACTTATGTTTTGTGCTAAGTCTATAAGTTTTAAAAGAAATTATTGACAAGTTTGATATAATGTAGAATAATAATAGGATAAACAACTTACTAATATTTCTCTCTGGTAAAGTTGGATCACTGTCATCAACATTGATCAGTGTATTATGATTAATATTTTTTCCTTTTTTAGCATTAGAACAGGCTTTAATTTTATTATTAGTAGGAGCAACTATATCTAAGTTTTGAATATTCTACTTACATTTTGTATTAAGTCTATAAGTTTTAAAAGATAGTTATTGACAAGTTTGATATAATGTAGAATAATAATAGTATAAACAACTTACTAATATTTCTTTCTAGTAAAGTTGAATTACTGTCATCAATATTGATCAGTATATTGTAATTAATATTTTTTTCTTTTTTTAGCATTAGAATAGGCTTTGGTTTTATTAGTAGTAGGAGCAACCATATCTTGAGTTTTGGATATTCTATTAATATTTTGTGCTGAGCATATAAGTTTTAAAAGATAGTTATTGACAAGTTTGATATAATATAGAATAATAATAGGATAAACAATTTACTAATATTTTTTTTTGATAAAGTTGGATTACTATCATCAACATTGATTGGTGCATTGTAATCAATATTTTTTACTTTTTTAGTATTAGAATGGGCTTTGGTTTTATTAGTAGTAAAAGCAACTTTATCTTTAAACATCTCATTAATATTAAATGCTAATCCTATAAGTTTTAAAAGTTAGTCATTAACGAATCTAATATAACATAAAATAATAAACAACTTACTAATATTTTTTTCTAATAAACCTGAATCACTATTATCAATATTGTTAAATATATTGTGATCAACATGTATTCTTTTTTTACAATTATTATTAGGTTTACAGGCTTTGGTTTTATTATTAGAAGAAGTAGTTATATCTTGAGAATCAAGCATCTCACTATCATTAAATGTAGGTTCTATAAATTTAAAAGATGATTATTGATTTGTTTAATATAATATAAAACAATAATAAGATAAACAACTTACTAATATTTTTTTCTGATAAACTTTGATTACTTTCATTAATATCGATAGGCATATTATAATCAACATATTTTTTTTAGGGCTTTGATTCTCTTATTAGTAAAAGCAGTTGTATCTTAAGTTTCAGTAATTTTACCAACCTTAGATGCTGATCCTATAAGTTTTAAAAAATGATTATTAACAAGTTTAAAATAACAATAATAAGATAAATAACTTACTACTTTTTTCTAACAAATTTGAATTACTTTTATTAACTTTGATATATACAACATATTTCTCTTTTTTAGCTCTTTTACTGTTGCTATTAAGTTTATAGGCTTTGATTCTTTTATAAGTAGATATGATTGTTTTTTGAGTTTCAAGCATTCTACTAACATTAAGTATTGAATCTACAAATTTAAAAAATGGTTATTGACAAGTTTAATATATCATAGAATAATAATGAGATAAATTAAGTTTATATTTATAATTGACATGATGATGAATTATCTTATGTTCTACTCAATCACTAACTATTGTTGAAAAGGATAGATTTTTTCTATGAAACTAGTGCAAAATAAATTTTAATTAAAAAAATATACATATAATATTATAATATTATTGCAAATGCAATTAGCTCAGTATGATTTAGTTAATAAAGCTAATTCTAGATAGTTGACAGACTTTAGCAGTATAACTTTGGTTCAAGTCATTATAGTCTAGCTTAATTTTAATTAATTAATTTACCTTATTAATACATTTGTTAATTTCAATAAGAGGCATATCACGATATTCAGTAGTAGAACACAAATAATAAAGTTTTTTAGTTACTATGAGTCTCATAGATTCCTGTAATTATTTTTTAAATTAAATAATTTATCTAAATTCAAATACTGTAAACTATAGATAATGCATACCATATAACCATTCTAGAGTCATTTTGGTATATAAAGAAAAGAAGAAGTTTTTTGATAGTTTATATTTTTCTTTTTGAAGACAAGCTATTATATATAATAAAAATAATAGATATAGTATTTAAAAAAGATATACATTCAAATACAATTTTTACCTGCTCAGGATCATCACTAGAAAATTCAGTATCATTTTTATCCGAAACATGATAATAGCTTCATTTTAGTGATCTCTTTTTTATCCTGTTATTAGAAATTTCTTCTATAGCTTGGACTTTATTAGCTTTATTTGTTACTACTTTGAAGATTTTGTTATGAAAAGACTCATCTTCTATGATTTGCATTTTAGTTATTTCATTTTGATTTAATATTTCTTTTTTGGCTTTATTTTGTCCTTTGTTTACTTTATTCATTTGTACTTTAATAGTTTTGTCACCAAAAATCTCATCTACAACTTGTACTGTACTTTAATTTAATAGTCCTTTTTTTTACTTTATTTAGTTTTGCCACTTTTATTGTAGAGGTACCTTCAAGCTCAGCAATCATTTTTTTAAGTTTAGCAATTTTCAATATGGTTTTTTCATTATAGTCAATTGATTTACTGGTGAAAAATTCACTTTCAGAATTGGAGGAATAATCCAACATTTATTGCATTCCATTTTATTTCATTTTATTTGTAACTAAGTATTCTATATCATAACAATAAATGCTAAAACTAGACAGTAAATAAAAGATATAAAAATATATCTTACATGAATAATTATATTATTTTTAATAAAAAGATAAAGATAATTTGAGTGCTGATATGGGAAAAGAGCCCCTAGATTTTTTAAATATATTATTGATTATTAGTCTGATTTAGCTCTTCTGATCAATATTATATTGGGTTTTAAATTATACTAATAATATTAATATAACTTAGAGTCTAATATATCATCGATCAGAAGGACTGGATCAAAATAATAATCAATAATATATTTAAAAAATCAAAAGGCTCTTTTCTCTTGGCAGCACTTAGTTACAAGCTACTAAAGTGACAATAAATTTATATAATATCATTTTATACTTTATTATATAGACTATAGTATTAGTATGATACAATTTTTTTTATATAATAAATATTAAACATCACTTGGTTATACATTTCATATACTTATAAATAGTATTTAAAAATAAGCTCAATGTTATTTGTCACTTGAATATTATAACTGGGTGCTGTAATTGTTTTCCAAAAATAGAGTAATTACCTTAAATATGTGGTACAGTTGTCAAATTTAACAATGCTTAGAATTTTCACTATAGACTGATATTATTGTACTCTTATATATCATAAAATTTAATTGTTAAAACTATTAACCAAATAATTATTATACAAATAATCATTAAAAGTTGTCAAAAAAGAAAAAGACATGCAATAAAAAACCAAAAGTTTTTTGTAATCGTTTAAAATATTAAAGATCTTCTTTAAGTCTAAATTTGGTTTCAATTTCAACTCGCACACAATACCAAAAAAATATCCTCAAAATACTTATAAATCAAGTAGTAACGAACAAGTAATAAGTGATGCTAAACAAAAATTAAGCAATGAGCAAGAAATGAGTGATATGGAGCAAGAAATAAGTGATGCTAAAAAAGAATTAAGCAATGAGCAAGAAATGAGTGATGTGAAACAAAAAATAAGTGATGTAGAACAAGAAATGAATGATTTAGAACAAAAATTAAACAATTAAATACTGAGCTATAGATTATTATTATATTTTCTTGTATATTAATGATTAATGACTATATTACAATTATCAAGATAGCATAAATTATAGATTCTTAGTGCATAATTATTTGGGTCCTTATTTATAATAATTTTCAAATATTGGGCCTCTATCTGTAAATCTTTTTATTTGGACTCTATTTGTAATTTTATACTATATTTTCATTTTTGGCTCTTAATTTTAATATCAGCAAATAAATTTAAACTTTGAAAATATGTAACTGATTTTGGCAGTAATTAGAGATACAGACAAATCATATCAATTAGAGCTTAGATCTAATTATCTGTTAGATACAAATTTAATAGTAAAATCCGTCAGATATCTGTTAAGTTTAATATGAAAATAGATAACCAAATCCAAGCTCTAATATCAATGATTGCTATAACTTTGCTATAATATATAATAACTATCTCTATAATTATAAACTAATTATAATGAGTTATAGCATATTTGCTATAACTCATTTTATAGTTATATAATTACAGTATAATATAGCAATATTACAGCAATCATTAAGATAATTTATTTGCTCTTTTAGTAGTGATATTATGTTAGTTTTTTTAAGAGATTGACTATATATAAAATATAATTAAAAACCTAAATATAGTTTTTTTCTTAGTAGTATTTATATGAAAAGCATAAATTTTATTTTATAATAAATTTAAAATATTATATAATAATTTAAAATATAAAATATAATATATAATAAATATATAAATATATAATATAGTATTAAATTTATAAAAAAATTTAAAAAAATATTACAACAAAATTTTTAATTAAATTGTTCAGTTTGTTTAAAAACTATTACGAATTATAGAAATATTACAAATAACTTTAAATTTAAAATTGATAATTGTCCTGATAAAGAATATTATCAACAACTTTAGCCCAATATTAATAAATTATGCTTTAATTGTTATATGAGAATTATAAATTCTTATCAATATCAAACATCAACAATAAATAGAAATGATAAATTAAATAGTTTTATTAAAACAAATTTAACAGAAATCAGCAGATCTAATAGTTTTATAAATTTAATAGAAGTTGATAATTAATAGAAATTAGCAGATCTAATAGTTCTACAACTTTAATAAAAACTAATAACTTAGTAAATTTAATAGAATTAATTAAAATTCAAAAAGAAGAATTAATTAAAAATAACTTAAATAAAATTAATCAACAAATTACAAATATTAAAATTAATATAACTAATAATACAATTTTAATGGATAAAAAAAATTTTAATCAATTAATTCAATTAATTATTCAAAAAGATTTAAAGATAGAAACTCTAAATAATCAAGATAATCAAAATAATTCAAATAATTTAGGTAATTATAATATTTTATTATTTTAATATTAATATTAATTTTAATTTTAATTATTTTAAATATTAATTAATTTTTTTAAAGCTTAAAATTATTCATTTTCTCAACAAATAAAATTATTAACAACTGTATTATTAAAATATCAAAATGAAAATAATAAATATATTTTAGATTCTAATCAATTTCAACAAATAATTGAGCAAAATAAACCAAAATTAAAAGGATTTTTTGATAAATAGTTAATGCACTAATTCCAAAAGGAAGACTTGACAAAAATAAAGAAAAAGCAAAAAAACAAGTAGTTGTATATTGTTATTTTTAGTTGAAATAAGAAACAAATTTGCTAATAATTTTAAAACAGATCATGGACTTTATTTGCATTTATCAGAAATAACTCAATCTGAAATTAATACTTTATCTGATGCTGGTCTCAGTGTTCATACAAAAACAATTTAAAAATATAAAAAAAATATTGCAAAAGCTCATTTAACAAATCTTAATAAATATTTTAATTTAAATATAAGTTATTTTTAATTTTTATAATTTTATATTATTTTCTGTTTCAAATTTATTAATTAAAATATTATATATTATTTAGTCAAATATTTTTTATTGTTTAATATTGATAATTTTCATGATATTTATAGAATTCAAAAACCAAATACAATAATATTTAGCTTAGTAAATCATATAGCAGCCTGTATAACAAAACTAATTATTAATATATTATCAGTTCTAGCAATTATAAATAATAATCTATATATTAATTGCTTATTTTTTAATCTAAAAATATTGGTAATAGATCAATTATAAATTATTTATATTCTAATATTCAAAGTATATTTGATATTAGTTATAATATACAAAACTTAATTAGATAAATAATAATATTGATTTTGAAAATCAAGATCAAATTAAATTATTTACAATTCATATATATGATAATACTATAAATAGGTGTAAAGAAGAAAGATCAATAAAAAATCTTAAAATAATTGGAATACAAAAACAAAATCTACATTTAACAAAAGATTATTTAAATATATTAAAAATAATTACTTCAACTGAATCATTACAACAATATCTTCAAAATAATATTATCATAACTGTATCTAGACTTTCTGTTATTTTCTCATGAGTTCACTTTTAGTAGGCTCTGATTTATATATCATTTTATAATAATTCTTAATATATATAGTCAAAAATATTACTTGGATTGTTATGTCTGGTTTTTCTAAAATTTTGTTCCTCTCTGTTGCTATAGATAAATGTTTAATTTTGTAGCAGGTAAAGAAATACCTGGTCTATTTTTCTCCAAACTCGATCTATATTGTGTTTGATCTAAGCTACCATATATCAGAAATTTACAATTTATTTATTCTAGTATTATATACCAGTTTTCTTTATTTGAGTTCTCTGATATTTTTTTTATTAATGATATTTGTTCATTTAATTTATGTATAATATTTTAGGTAAACAAGACCTAGAATAGGCTCTGAAGATTAGGGTTGGAGGCACAGGATACGAGGTATGCCCAAAAGGCATGCCTCTTGGGCATGTTCTTTTTCAAAAAAGTTATATATGTAAAAAGTTGTTATGTAAAAATTTTGGGAGCATGCCTATAGAGCATGCCTTTAAATTAAAAAAAACTAGAGGCATGCCCATGGGGAATGCCCAAAATTTTTTCCATGCCCCCAACCCTACTGAAAATAGATTGAATTCTATATTTGGGGATGCCTATAGCAAAAGGAATAGGACTATATAATATATAGTTCTATTCTCCTTTTGCTATGAGTGTCTCTATTTATAGAAGTTCTACTTACTTATTGAACAACTTATTTTAGTTTAGTCTTAATTCTATTCATAAGAGATTCATTCATTAAGCACTATTTGGGGGGGGTGCCAGTAGAAACCAAGCAATTTGTTTTTAGTGAGTTTTTTTTAAATTTTAAATTAAAATATCTCAACAA